GAAAGTTTTTTCTTTAAATTTGACATCATTATAACCTCCTTGCAGGGCACAGGGAAGTGGAAAAAAACATCATAATGGGGAAATTTTCACTACCTGTGACTCCCAATGAAGCAAGTTGTTCTAGTTACTTCAATTGCTGTGCTAAAAACATTGACCAAAACCAACTTGGGAAGGAAAGGGTTTATTTTGTCTTACATCTCCCAGTAGCCCAAGGTGGGCACTCAGGGCAGGAACCTCGAGCACAGACCATGGAGGAATGCTGATTACTGGCTTGTTTTTCTAGCCTGTGCACAGCCTACTTTCTTACATAGTACAGGACGATCTGCCCAGGAGTGGCACCACCCACAGTGAGCTGGACCCTCTCACATCATTCAACAATGGAGAAAATGCCCTACAGACATGACCACAGGCCAGCCCAATGGAGAAAATTCCTCAATTGAGGTTCTCTCTACCCAGGTGTGTTAAATTGACAACTAAAGCTATCCAGCACACAAGTCAATTCTAAAAGTGCAAAATCATTCTTTCTAATTCTTCACTTTCATATTTAGTAGAGAACATGTGATATAGAAATGCAGCTACTTAGAAACTGGGCTTCTCTGTGTGATATAGGAAGTCATATTGATATATTTTCTTTTACTTTAAATTCTAGTCACCACAGCTTTAATGCAGACATTTCAGTAGAAATAACTATAGGTTGTTATACATATTCACCAGTGCTTATGATTTGTTTAAATCACATCTTAATCTAATTCTTACTGACTTTTCTTAAAACATTTAGCTGCTGGATAAAAAAATATTATAAAGTGGGAGGACACTGGAAAGCAAACAAAACACATCAGCAAAAAGCATTCTAGAATTGCTCCAAAAGTCCAGCTACATGTAGTCTTGGCATACTTCTCATATTGCTTTTTTATGCACCACCATACTGATTTCTATCTAATCCTTGAGACTTTCAAATAGGAGAAAAAATTGAATCAAATAATAATCTGGTGTTGATGTTTTTTAGTGTAGATTTTTACTCTTCTCTGACTCACACTTTCATGACTTCACAAAATAACATGATCTTTAGAAAGAACGTACATCTGAGGCTACCATGGAGCCTCTGATAACCCTCACACACTACTAGTTGTGACTTAAATCATTAACCCGAAGATAAAAATGCTCATGTACTCTTGGCACTCAGCCCCTTAAGCACTTGAAGCTTCCTTGATTTTCTGTAGAATAATATGTTCCTTCCTAAGCACAATATAACTACATGTAACTCTGACCATCTGACATATATAGTCAGAAATGTTCAGTGTGAAATGACTTTAATACTAAATGACTTTAACACTGTCAGGAAAACCTACTATGCATAAATACAAATTATCTTGATCTTATAGTCAGTGTCTTAACACACCAATGAAAAGTGTCTGATAGTTAACATCATCTTTTAAAAACTAGTACTAATATTTTCTCTAAAATTAATAAAGCTATAAAAATATATTGCAAAGCTATTTAGATTAAAATTTTGGTGTTTTGAGGTATTTTGTCTTGTATCATCTATCAATCTCTTAATTTACTGAGAGAACTAACAGAATGCATTGTAACTTAAACATTGACAATTTTATTCTGTGACCCAGTGTTTTTAAAGTTGACTAGTAGAGCTTGAGACATGGCTTAGTGGTAACTTGTTACTCTTCCAGAGGACCTAGGTTTCATTATCAGCACCCATGGTGTCTCACAAACTTCTGTAGCTCCAGGACCAGAGAATATGACATTGTCATTGGGCTTTCAACAGTACTAGGCACATATGTGGTGTACATACATGTATGTAGGCAAAATACTTATACACAGAAAAGAAAAATAAATTAAAAATTAAAGTTGAAGCCAGGTATGGTGGTACACACTTTTAATCCCAGCACTGGGGAAGCAGAGGTCGGCGGATCTCTGTGAGTTCAAGGCCAGCCTGGTCTATGTAGTGAGTTCCAAACCAGCTGGGGATACAGGGAGACCCTGTCTCAAAACAACCAAAAAATAAAATAAAACTAAAGTTGACTAGTAATAGCTTCATTATTTACAAAAGTATATTTGCCAATTGTAGTACCATTATTTGGAAATTTATTTGACTTGATAAAAATTTTTAGTTTTTTGCTTCCAGAAAGAAAATGGCAAAAGGTTTGTTTTGTTTTGAAGTGTCCTGGTGTAGACATTGTTGGCATTGTCAATATGCTCCCTGTGAAGACCTTGTATATTTCACAGTCTCTTGGAGGCTGTTTAGAGGGGATCTTTATGAAGTTTCCCTCTACATTTTATCTGACAGAATGCAGGCCAAGATGCAGAACAGAATCCTCCTCCCTCCCGGATCAGGTCAATGTAAAAGAGTTGCAACACAACATCCCCATGGAGTTTCAGTTTACTGAAAGTATCTGTGTCAAGGAACAATAGGAATAAAAACATGCTGATGTGCATCTCTCCATTCCAGGTCATGGTATTTAATTCAGAAAAACACCAACTAGGAGCTGAGACAAAACAGGATGAAAGAGAAGTCAGGAAAAGATAGTGAGGCCATGCAAATCAAAGATAAAAGGAAGAGGGTAAAGGAAGGAAATGCAGTTGGAATCAATCCATTGGATTTAAGTTCAATGAAACTCTGAGCAACGTTATCAATGGTCAGTGTGGGATAGTGAAAAAAAGGGAGAAACTAACAATAACCTGCAAAAGAAGAGACTGGACTCCAGGGGTGGGAAATGAGCATCCGTGTCTTTACTTTTATCTCTTAAATAATTAAATGCTGTTTCAAGACTTTAAAAATCCCAAAGACAAACAACTCAAGAGAAATAGCCATAGATGTGAGTGTTGTCAGCAAAGTTTGAACAGAAACCAGAGGATTAAAAAAAAGAGAATGTTGAGCCCTAAGTACTGTGGAGGGGGATATTCAGAGGAACCGGCCTAATTGCTTTTAAAATCCAAAGCACAGAATCCTTGAGAGCAGGCTGAATGGAGAAGTGTCACCACATTTAATCAACAAGGAAGTTAGGTGATGCAGATGCCTTCTTGCATACCGTGCAGACAAAATATCCCTCCTTGCCAATGCAAGAAGTAAGTGGTTCAGAACTCCTGTAGAAGTAAAACCAACCAGCTCCACATGACAGAAACCCTTAGCAGAAAGAAAGGCAAGCAGAGGTCACAGTGGCATTGAAAAAACCTAGGAGCCATGAGGCCACCTGATAGGAATGCCTGACAAGACGTCAAGCATTGAGAAACTAGCTTATCAGAAAAACAGGACGTAGTGGTCAAGCCATCTGCATCTGGCAATCCCCGGGGCTCGATACCAGGAAATCAGATCTGTACCATAAGTCACCCACCCAGAATTTAGCAACTAAACTTCCTCATGCTTTATACTCGTTTGAATGGGCCAATAACCATGCTTCTGCTTCTGTACCCCACTTCTGCTCTATAAAAGTGCAAAAACCCAGCATGGGGGCGCGCAAGTCCTCCGAGGAGACTTTGTGCCCACAGGTACCTGTGTACTAAATAAGCCTCTTGCTGTTGCAACCCGAAGGCTGACTTGTCCTCAGCGGTTTCACTCTTACATTTGGAGGTCCCATCGAGATCAGTCGGTCAGAGGGAGCCACCAGGGCAACTCGAGCCTTGCGGGGAGGTGAGTTGGCCGGCCTCTGTGTTGTCTGTATTGTCTGGTTTTGTTTGTTGGTAGTGCAGCATCTGTAGAGTCTGGGGATCCCGTCTGTATTTCTGGACAGTGCAAGAGCAAGACTGACGAGTCTTTGAGCTTTGCCTGTCGGCCTGGGGGACGCTCCAGGACTGTGGCTGTGAGACCCACGTCTGTAGAACTTTTTGTTCATTTGTAGGATTTCTGTGGGTCTCGTCTGGACAAGGAATTTCCTTGTCATCTGTTATACCGAGCTGCACACCTGAGTCAGTGTCTGTGTTTCTGTGTTGCTGGGTATTTGTGTTGGTCACAACCGGCCCCCCCATGGTCTGGGGAGCCTGATACTTTGGGGCTCAGCGCGCATCTGAAGGATACGTGCACCTGAGGAGCGAAGTGTCAACCCCGCCATCTGACTTTGTTCTTTCAGTTTTCCTCCGGAGTCGCGCTAAGCGATACCTCGTCGCCGGCTGTCTATTTTTGTTGTTTCTGTTGTTTGTCTGTTTTATTGTAATTTTAGAAAGCCCCAAGATGGGACAACAGCTAACTACTCCCCTAAGTTCAACTCTAGGTCACTGGAAAGAAGTTAAAGGCCGAGCTCACAATCAATCTGTGGAAATCAAGAAGCACCAGTGGATAACCCTTTGTTCCTCCGAGTGGCCAATGTTTAATGTTGGTTGGCCTCAGGATGGGACTTTTGATTATGAGGTTATTTTGCAGGTTAAAGCTAAAATCTTCTCCCCTGGACTAATGGGGCATCCGGACCAAGTGGCTTACATAGTTATTTGGGAAAACCTTTCCCTTGACCCACCACCGTGGGTAACTCCTTTTCTCAGTCCTTCATGAAGAGTCCCCCTCCCTTCTGCCCCTAACCCGGACCCTCCGACCGTCTCCTTGTTTCCTGTTGTGGTGAAACCAAAGCCTGTTCTGCCCCCTGATGAGAGTGTTCCTGCTGATCTGCTGAGTGAGAATTCCCCTCCCTACCACCCTCCTCCGCAGGCCGCTGCGGCTGTTCCAAACGACGCCCAAGGAGAGGGACCGGAGGTCGCTCCCTCCCCCATCGCAGGGCAACTCAGGGACAGGAGAGGACAAGGAGATTCCTCACACATCCTGCCCCTCCTACTCTCAGGAGGGGAAGGAAACCAGTTACAGTATTGGCCTTTCTCCGCTTCAGATCTGTATAACTGGAAAACTCATAACCCGTCCTTTTCCCAAGACCCACAGGCCCTAACAGCCCTGATAGAATCTATCCTCCTTACCCACCAACCCACGTGGGATGATTGCCAACAGCTCCTGCAGGTCCTCCTAACTACGGAGGAAAAGCAGAGAGTCATTCTGGAAGCCCGAAAGCATGTCCCGGGGGCAGACGGGAGACCAACCCAACTGCCAAACGAGATCGAGGCTGCCTTTCCCCTCACCAGACCTGCTTGGGATTTCAACACGGCTGAAGGTAGGGAACACCTACGTCTTTATCGCCAGGTGCTTGTAGCGGGCCTCCAAGGGGCAGGGAGACGCCCCACCAATTTGGCCAAGGTAAG